CCCCAAAACCCCAAAACCCCAAAACCCCAAAACCCCAAAACCCCAATAATATGAAATATTATTGAAATTAATATAAAATGCTCAAGTGATGAAAGAAGATTTGTAAAAGGAGAAAGTCAGCCCGAGCCCAGATTGTATGAGTCACACTGCCCTTCCTTCTTGTCGGATTGGTACTAATATATTTGTTGTGCGTGCTGTATGGGTATTTTATTATAAGGAAATAATATGGATTCAGCAGCAAACCATCTTGTAGAGATCAGGCAAGAAGATTTGTTGAGGAGGTCTGAGATGCAGGCTTTAAGATCTCAAAAGATTGTCCAAGAGCCGATTCATAATAATTATATTTTCTCCTCGTTTTTTAAAGAGGTTATTAATAGTAATCTTAAATTATCTCAAAATTTTGAAATAAGTACTTATGCAAGTAATTATAATGACTTTGTATCGGAAAAGAAAAATAGAGATTTGTCTCAATGGTATATCACTCCTGGTATTACTGATGAAAGCCAATTAAATAGCACACAGAAAGACAATATTTCTACTATTCTCTCTCTTTTCCCATTGTTTAAAGGTATTTTATTTGACAGCTTTGACGAAGAAGGAGGATTATATAATACAATCTACTATGCAACAAATGATGAACGAACTTTCGTTCAATACCCAGGATATAAGTCAGACATGTTAATTAATTGGCCTGGGACTGATACACTTTGACCAGAGCATTTTGATCCTCCTCAAATGGAATTTTATGATGCTCGGTGAAGACCTTTTTATAAGAAAGCTGTTGATGAAGCATTTGACTTTATAACCCATGGGCCATATACAAATCCTTCAAGTACAAATATGTTCTATGCTCTGACGATGAGTCAGGCTATACCTAAAAGTGATGGACAAGGAATTCATGGAGTTCTGAATCATGATTTGAATCTAATTTTAAAAGGTAACAACCAGTTTGAAGGAGAACAAGACTCAGACCGGACTCATTCAATGATAACAAGTGTGGATGGAACCCTCATAGAACACTCAAATGTAACTCTCTCTAGCACATCAGATTCTATTACCAAGGCTGAGTTTTCTCAAACATCTGTTCCTTTGGAAAATGAGTTATATACAGAAGAAACTAAGAAATTTAACGAAACATTTTTGCCTATTTTCAAAAGTATACAAGATCCAATAGTAACAACCTTTACTAAGTTTGGCAATGAGTACTTGGCTGCTGTAAATCCTATCAGAGTTCGACATAATGTCAACGAGGAGGGAATTGTTAAATTTGATAGAATGTTCATATATATTCAAATACGAGATAGAGAGGCTTTCATAAGAGATATTACAGATAAATCAGATCTTCTAAAGCTACTAATAATCTTCGGCTGAGTATTCACAGTTACCATGATTTTTTTAATTCTCGCATCTGCTTGGTTCCTCCTTAAAATAGCATCAAGAGGACTTTTACCAATTAAAATCCTAAACAGCAAAGTGTCCATTCTGAGTAAGTTCTAGAATAATCATTCATAGTGACGACGAACGGTGAATTTAATATGGACCAAATGAAATCGAAAATGACTTCTTCTGAAGCAAGAAAAATGTTTAGAGTGTTTTCACAATTAATCACTGCTAGAAGATTCACTTCAAATAAGATAATGTACAGCAGCAATGCCATCGCAATCATGGAGTACGCTGAAGCATACACTGTCTTCAGAGGTAATCAGAAAGTCCAAGGGATCTGAATGAACAACATTGGGCACACATACTACAAACTTGGAGATTATGAGAAAGCAGCCAAAAGTTACCATGAAGCATCAGAATGAGCAAGATCTCTGATGTCTAATAAACTTCTATCTGATGTTATTATGAAAGAGAACATCATGCTTTATTGAAAAAGAAAATACTACTTCTGTATGTGAAAGTTTTATTCCTTACAAAATCATCACATTTCTCCAGGCGAGAAGGAAATATTGAGAATTGAAAAGGAGCTAGAGCAGACCAAGACTCTTATCGAAAAACTTGTTAAAAATTCAGTTAGTGATATTCTTATCATGCTTAATCTGTACTCAAGTAAATGATTACTGATGACAAGGCGCCTTATTTCTGCGGAGAGAGATCTTCATATCGCTATCAAGATATTTAAGAAGAAACAGAAATTGATACAGGAAGATAGACCAGATATCCCAATTATACCAAGGTGCATCCTTCGACAAAGAATATTGCTACAGAAATCTCTTGTTATGTTAGATTTTAAGAAAAAGCGAAAAGCAGCTTATTTATTAACGGACTTGCTAAAGATTGGAGAAGTATATGACCCAGCTGTCAGAAAAGAAGCTCTTATGACACTTCATTCGCTATTTGGTAATCATCCTGAAGCTCAAAATATTGAGCAAATGTTGCAGTTATTTCAGCCGACAAGGAAGAAAAACATAATCCTTCTTGTCGACTCTTTGAAAGATAAGTACTTTGAAACAAAGAAAAATTTATGTCAAGAAATATTTGATTGCCTGGAGCAAGAAGACAATATTTCACTCATTAGTATGGAGAATAAAGTTAATAGAGTATTTTCATTAGTACCTAAAAGCCAGAATACTATCCAATTGAGCAACCAACTTAAGTATCTTGATTCTAAAACCCCAAAAAGTCTTCTCCTAGTTGATGGTCTAGGTCACTCCTTAGATGAGATTGTAACTTACTCTATCGAAAACAGAAACAACAATTATAATTGGATAATTTGCATCATAAGTAGCATTGACACCAGTAGCTTCAGATCAAGAGATGAACTCATCTTACTTGAAGAAGAATTGGAGAACAAAAACATCAATATCTTATGTGTAGTGATTGGGGATGCCGATAGTGAAAAATATAAGAAACTTCATACCTATATGAACTTTAACGACTCCACCATTTTCCTAAACATTCAGAATGAATACAATAAAAGGGATAAAAACTTATCAGGAATGATCCAAGCTCCTTTACCTGGAAGAAGATCTTCAGGGGCACGTTCTGAAATTCTTAAGCTACGGGCTTTGATCAAGAACACAAGTAATATCCAAATAATTGAAGAGAATCTAGTGTACGAAGAGTTTAAATAATTTTGACTAATATTCCTAAAAAAATCTTTATTTTATCATATTTAATACCTATTTTCAACGTTTGTTTCACTTTTCGGGGTTTTGGGGTTTTGGGGTTTTGGGGTTTTGGGGTTTTGGGATTTTGGGGTTTTGGGG